CCAGGTGGAGAACTGCACCTGCACAAGGGCTGATTACGAGTGGTAAGTGGCCCAGCACGCCGTCGTCTTTTTTCCTCAAGCTAACACTCTCCAGTGACTACAACTATGAGCTCGGCACCGACAAACAATGCAAACTTGTCCCTGGTACGTCTCCCATTTCGGCGGAGCAGTGGTGTAAGGAAAACCCCGATGCCGTCGAATACTACGAACCCACGGGATTCCGTAGAATTCCGCTTACTACTTGCATTGGGAACGGCCATAATGAGCTCGACAAGCAGTCCAAGGCTCACCCCTGCGCCGGCAAGGAGGATGAGTTTGAGAGACGGCGCAGAACCTCTGGTATCGCCATCTTCTTCGCTGTGGTGATCCCGTTCGGCCTCGCAGGTGCGATCGGCTGGTGGGTATACCGCAACTGGAACGGCAAAATCGGTCAAATACGGCTGGGCGAGTCGTCCAGTCTCGACAATGACGCCCCGTGGGTCAAGTACCCAGTCATCGCCCTCTCGGCGGTGGTTGCCGTCGCCGCGGCCCTGCCGCTCGTCGCCTCGGCCCTGTGGAGGCGCGCCACCTCTGCTTACGAGAGCGTGAGCGGCGGAGGCGGAGGCGGAGGCAGCTGGCTCAGCGGGCGCGGCAACCGCCGGTTCACTACGAGAGACAGCTTTGCCCGGGGCAGAGGAGATTACGCCGTTGTCGACGACGACGAGGGCGAGCTCCTGGGTGACGACAGTGATGAGGAGGTATGAATGGGTTTTATGACGGAGGGCAGCATTGTTGCCGTAGAGTCAAGGGAGAGATAAAGCGACACATCGATACTGTAGCAAGACTGTTTCTTTTGGATTTCGGCATGGGGGTATCAGGCAGGCAGACGGAGGCAGAAAATGCAATTGTAGACCTTTATAGCTGATGTTTTTTAACAAGCATGGCGTTGTTCCCGAGGCATTTCGAGTGCTCTTTTTTTCAGACTATAGCGTTCTTTGTGGGAATGACTTCCGACTCTTGGTGACATCGTGAGACCATGGGCCGGGATATATAGCGGAATGGGGGTTGGGCACATCGATCGAAGGCTCGGACGGCACGCAGGAAGCGCCGAGACACGATCTGCGCTGTCCAATTTTCCCTGAGGTGAGAACGGAGCGGCGATGGCCGTGTCCGAGGGTATCCTATCCGAGTAGCGCCAGGGTAGGCAGGCAGGGCGAGAGGCCAAGAAGCCCACGCGGGATTTGGATTCCAGACTTTCCCGGCTCACCGGGCCGAATGGGAGGGGAGGATCATCCCCCACGACCCAGAGACAGAGAGAGAGAGAGGAGATTGCGGAAAGCTAGTGAGATGAACTTGTATCTGACGCAAGGGGCCCGAACTTATGGAAAGGGGGTCGGAACAGCGTTGATCCCGACCGGACTGGACCCGGGTGATGGGCAACTCAAGCAGAAACCAAGCTTTTTCTTTCCCTCTCGGTTTTTTCTCTTTCTTTCCCACTCATCGTCCTCGCCCACACGTGGGTTCATCATATTCCGGGACCGTGCGCATGTCAGAACGGAGACCGGGAGGGAGGAGAGGAGGATGGGAAATAATTGACTCCCCCCCGGTCAACTTGGTGCCAATAGCAGATACAGGCATCTCGGGTTAATCTTCCTCCAGGGAAGTGATCTGCAGGTCGCGCAGGCGTCGAGCTGGTGATGTGCAGAGTGTTTCGCCTTATTTGTGCAGCTGGGGGGCGGTCTTTGGGGGCTCGATGCTGGGCGATACGAGAGCGAGAGGAAAACACACAGTGGAGATGCTACACGTACCATGTGTGTACGATGTGTACAGATAGTTGTGCGTATGCCAGTCAGTTGAGGGTTAATTAGCTCTCACTCTTCCCCCCCCCTTCTCTCCTTGGGGGATGTGTGAGGTAGAGATGGGCGCATGCAGCTGGCCAAGGGAAAAAGGGGGCGGGAAATGGGCGACGTTGTTGGCTCCTTGACTCCGCAGACTGTTTTCCAACTCCAATATCCCAATTGTGGGGAGGGGGAGAGGTGCGAGCCGGGGCGGCTTGCATAGTCGATATTGGACAAAGACATGGACTATAATTCTTTATGCAAATAGAACGCGACGACTTTCCCTTTTTGGGGGGTTGGCTCTTGAGGCGCTGCGCAACGTCCAGAGCGTTGAACCGCCTGACCGCCATCGTAAGCTGCATCCGTCCACATCTGTCCAAGACATTGGCCAGGTTGTCGACGACCGATGCTAGGGGGAACTCGCGACAGGGCGGCCGGGTTCCATGCCTGAGACCCTCGAGACGTGTCATGCACAACGACATCATCGGCGGGCGCGATTGGACCGACTGTTGCGCGTGCTGAGTTGGCCCACTAATTATAGAAAGACATTTGGGATTGGTCTCTGGTAGACCAGTACGGTGCGTTTTGAACCCGCCGTGACCGACTTGTGGTGAGGCGTCTGCTAGCCCAGCGGGCTGTTAGGCATCGGGTTATTTTCTCCCATCGACAAATGGAGCTATGAATCTGGCAGATGCAGGAACGGCACCTAGGTATGTACGTTAGTGGCGTTTCTCTCGGGGTACTCCGTACTTAGTACCCAATCTTGAATGCCCCTTTTCCCCCTAGTCTTCCCCGCCATCACCTCTGGCGGTAACGCTTTTGAGTCTTGAAAACCGAAGGTCGCTACCAGGAGACGCAATGCCCTGGAGCACGGCGGCAGATGGGAAATATGGTCCAGAAATTGCCGCCGAGGCGCCGGCGGCCAGCCACGAACACGAGAACCACGACAGAAACGAGATTGTGGGGAAGGGCCGCGAGAGACATGCATGGGCCGAATGGCCCCGGAACATGGGCTGGTCGTTGATGTTTCATTTCCATCCTCTTCCGGGGATCTTCGTCGACGTAGCTAGTTTGCACAGTAGGTAATCAGCATAGGGCATGAGACAGTCGCCACCGGGAGAAGGAAACAGAACAAAGAGAGAATACCCACGTAGGGTGCGCGCGCGCGCGGACACCGGAAGTAACCTGTCATTCGGGGTAGAACAACAATGCTTGTTCGCGAGCCACGCCACGCACCTACACTACGATACTTGCCTGGCGGTCGCGACGATCTCGATGTCTGTCGATGCTTCAGTTTGCTGCCAAATATGAATCCGGACTGGACGGATCAACCAAGGCAGCACTGACTGGATCCGTAAGCCAGTGATGGCTGTGCAGCTCGAGGCATTTTGCACTAATCGCTGGACACGTAGTGTACATGTCCAGGCCGGTGGCCATATGTTGTGCTGCCAATGATGGGGGGCAAATGGGCGACCAGCCGACGGACCATGGGCTGAGCCAAAAAAGAAGGTTTACCTGCCCAGAGGAACAGAACAGGGTGGTATTGAAAGGTTCATCTCATTATTTCTGGGGCCCTTGTGCTAATATCGCTTAGCTAATTTCCCGGACGCACCAGTCGTGGACGCTCAATGCGGCCCCCGTCCCTTCCTGCAGCCACCCCCCGCAAGCTCGCTCCCCAATCAGCAATCATGCCACTCCGGGTACCTTGCAGCCCCGCCCCTCTGGCCCGCCCTGCGATCCTTCTTCCCACACCACACCACTCTTTTCATGCTCTCCGCCTTCGGTCTTTGGTCTCACTTCGAGCCTTTCTATCGTGGTGGTGTGTTCTTCGTTGCTTTCTTCTGTCTCGCTACTGGCCGGTGCGGGAGCCTAACCCCAGATTCACCACGCACGACGTCTCCGACCAACGTTGCCACGACTGGGTCTCCTCTGTCCCTGATGTGATGGAGGATTAATTTGCGTACAGCCCTCACTATCACGAGTCGCACGGCCTCTCCCAATCGCCTGTTCCTGCCTTTGCCCATCCAGAACTTAGCCCAGAGACGCTTGTGCAGTGCCGAGTCGTCAACTTTCGAGTCAATCAAACGTCTCCCTCCTCCCCTCCTGTTTTCTTGCCCATGTGCTTCTCACGAGACTTTTGGCTTTTTCCATGGCTGGACTGGATGCTTCTTGGCCGCCCGTCCAACCAGCGAGCCAAACCCGTCTTGGCTATACTGAACCGGGATTACCATCTCGCCTCCCTTTTCCTTGCCGCCTTCCAAGGCCAAGAACAGGGTACTGCTTCTCACCGTCTCGTTGACTCGGATGTCAACGCAGCCCAGATTGCAAGCCCGTATTATCCTCTGGCACAAACCCCTGAGCGACTCCTCCTCCACCAAGTAGGGATGGATAGTCCCCGTTGGCATCGTTTCAACCCCAACGGCTTGTGTTGCTTACTGCGTATCCGTAGTCAACCATGACCGAGATCTCCTTGTGCTCTGGGGTCCGCCCTGTCCTGGCCCTCAACCCCTCTTCGTTCGGGTTCCTCAACGCTGTCTGCTGTGTGCCCTGATGCTGAGAGCAGGGGCTCGCTGGCTGCCAAGTTGCTGTTTGTCACGCCAAAGCAAAAACCATCGGTCTAGACAAGATACAGTCACTCCCTCGTCACGCGTGTTGGCCTGTCACTCATTATCCAGCAACACCGAAACTCGTGGACGAACCAGGCCCCGGTTTGGTCAACAAGTGTCACCCGCACCTTGGGCATCTTCCCATGCCATCCAGTGCTAGGTCATTGGACACTAGGCAGTCCGCACTTGCCCACTCGTCCATCCGAGGGGTGGGCACACCCACACCGTCGCGCGCACAAACCCCGGTTCAGGGCCCCTGCCAGGGACATGCTAGCCTTCTCACGGTCGTACCCATGAAGATACGGATACCATACTAGCCATCTACCTAATCTCGCCATCAACATAATAATAGCATTTCGGTCCCGCCAGTTTTCGTCCTTCTCTTTCCCTCTCTCCTTCCCCTTCCTCACGAAAACACCGTCAAATGAGTTGATGCCGTCAACTTAGTTTCGTCTCTACCACAATCTTTCACTACCGCTTCACTCTTTTAGCGGGCATTCGCTTTACACCAGACACTATCGTCGATTAATATACCAGAAAAGAAAAAAACACCCCCCAAAGGCAACTCTAATTCACTATGAAGGGATCCATCCTCGCTGTCGCAGCCGCCATCGGCGGTGTCAGCGCCGCTGCTCACCGTCACGCTCAAGCTCACGGTCAGCTGTTCAAGAGAGGCGTCGACCAGGCCTCTGTCTGTGTCCCCGGCTGCACCACCATCTACACCACCATTTACGGCGAGCCTACGCGTATGTTTCTCACACCCTCTCACACTCATCTCGGGCGATGCGATAAGCTCTCGCAGAAAGATGAGCATCGACGAGACGCCGAGCCCCGCAGGCCTAATAAGACCGATCATCGTCATACTAACATCGTTATCAACAGTGGTTCCTCACAAGCCCAGCAGCCCGCCCGCCGTCGTCCCCTCGGCGCCCGCGACAACTGAGGCCCCGCCGAAGCCCACGTCCACTCAGAAGCCCTCCGTGGATGTGCCGACCCCCGTGCCTGAGGTCTGCCCGACCCCGGGTACCTACACCTTCCCGGCCACCACCATCACCGTCAGCCAGACCACCACCGTCTGCGCTCCTGAGACCACCAAGGTCCCTGCCGGTACCCACACCATCGGCGGTGTCACCACCGTTGTTGTGAGTGCCACCACCGTCGTGTGCCCCTACGCCACCGCGAAGACATCCAGCGGCGTCGTGACCAGCGTCGTCGAGACCACCACCTACGTGTGCCCTACCCCCGGCACCTACACTATCGCCCCGACGACCACCACTGTCACTGCCCCGACCAACGTCGTCTACCCCGTCGTGACTACGGTCAACCCTGGTACCTACGTCCGCCCGGCCATTGTCACCACCATCACCGAGACCAGCGTCGTCGTTGTTTGCCCCTTCACCAGCCAGGAGCCTGTTCCCACGACCTCCTCTGTCGTTGTTCCGGCTCCTGTCCCCACGACTTCCGCCATTCCGGCCCCGGTTCCCACAACCTCCGCTGCCCCCGAGCCCGTCCCCACCACCACCGCTAAGGCTTCTTCCTCCGCGCCCGCCCCGTCCTCCTCCGCTCCCGCCACCGGCGGTGGCCTCGGCGGCAACAACGGTGACCACTGGGCTATCACCTACACTCCCTACTCTGAGGATGCCTCCGGATCCTGCAAGTCTGGCAGCCAGGTAGACTCGGACATCGCCTCTATCAAGAACTCTGGCTTCCGCACCATCCGCATCTACTCCACCACCGACTGCAACGCCCTCGAGAACGTCGGTGCTGCCTGTGAGAAGTACGGCCTCAAGATGATCCTTGGCATCTTCGTCAAGGATTCGTGCGACCCCCAGTCGGCCGACATCAAGACTCAGGTCGACGCCATCGCCAGCTGGCAGAGGTGGGACATGGTCGAGCTCGTCGTTGTGGGCAACGAGTGCATCTTCCAGGGCCGCTGCAGCGCCTCCTCTCTGAAGCAGCTCATCGTCGCCACCAAGGTCACCATCACCGCCGCCGGCTACTCTGGTCCCTACACCACCGCCGAGACCGTCGGTGTCTGGCAGCAGACCGATGTCGTGTCTGAGATCTGCGACGTCGTCGACATCGTCGGTGGCCAGATCCACCCCTACTTCAACGCCCAGACCGCCGCCACTGACGCCGGTACCTTCGTCCAGAGCCAGATCGAGCTCCTCGAGAGCTCCAGCATCTGTGGCAGCAAGCCCGCCCTGAACCTCGAATGTGGATGGCCCGCTAGTGGCAGCTGCAACGGCCTCGCCTGCCCCGGTACCTCCGAGCAGGCCATCGCCATCGCCTCCATCAAGGAGCTCGCCGGTAGCAAGACCGTCTTCTTCTCCTTCCACAACGACTTGTGGAAGGCCCCTGGTGCCTGCGGCTGCGAGCAGTCCTGGGGCTGCGGTCAGCTCTTCCTCTAAACGGGATGGCGGACGACTGATAGGACGGAATCACGATCAAAAATACTCACCCGACGTTTGGACATGACAAAAGATACCTTCCCCGGGAAACCCCTGACGTTGAGGCTCCGAGAGAAATCAATCAACGGTGTATCATGAAAGAACGAAAAAGAAAGGCATGTCCCACACCACATACGCCCTCGACGGAATCGATTCCCTTGACGTTTCCTTCAAAGTGCGAACCACGACAATTTCCGGATACCCCTCGGCCCAGCCTCATCCTCGGCACTCGTATATCTATCTAGCTTCATTCTCTGTATATATACACTTGTCTCCCGCCCGGTTGGCGTTTGTCTGAAGGAGAACGAAGACAACAAGCCCTCAAAAGCTTGTTTTCCTTACCTCTTCGTTGTATAAACACTCTGTATCTTGGAGACGCCGCTCGGGGCGTGTGTGGTTATAGTTGTCGTAGTTAGCAGCAGCACCTTCTTGGCGCCTGGGATACTGCCTAATTTCATGTGTCATCTCAAACGAAACTTGCAACCACCAGTGATCTCTCCATTTACGTCCATGTACGTGAGGCCTCGAATCTCTCATCACCGACGATCACTCCCCCAGAGTTGCGTTATTCATCGACGTCTACCGACTCTGATATTGAAAAAAATAGTTTCCATGGTTCCCCGGAGGCCGAAGGGCTTCAGATGAGCTTCATACGACTCCCCTTTCGCGACCACATTCCCGTCCTCCCTTTGGTTCCAATGGAAGAGGGAAAGGTAAGCCCCCTCACAGCCCACCCTCACAATCAAAACAAAAAAGTTGCCAACGGCAGCAAATAGACCGGCGCCCGCTTCAACCATGACCACTTGGTCCGTTCGTTCATCTATGGACCATCTCGAACGCCCCGCGAGTCGGCTAGCTGGCTAGCGTACTGTCTTCCCCCCCAGAACAAAACAAAACTGTTTCGTTTCAGGTGGGCTGGTTGCTCTGTAAAGCGCGCACACACACACATACACGCGCCCTGCCCGGGGAGGGAGATTCCGCGAAATAATTAAAAATAAACACTACCCGCAAGTGTCACCAACGTGTGGCCCACTCCGCCTCTATCGGGAAGAAAGAGGCTGCGACGCTACCGGGTCGGTTCGGGCATCGCGTCCTCGCAAACCAGATGGGGCCATTCTGTTGCGGAAAGGGGATGGAAGTAGCGGACACGCCGGCCCGGTGTAGTCTCGTCCCCCCCCCCTCCTCCCCTCCCCCTTTGGCCTACCCATCCTCACGCGCCGCGGCTTACGTCCGGCCGTCTCGACGGACAGAGCCGCAGCGATGACATCAACTCGAAGCTGGGGGAGTCACGCAATCTGGAGACAAGCCACGGAGTGGGATTCGAGCGTCGGCCAGGCGGCCCCGATCGTCATGTGAAATGGTATTCGTCTCGCCTTCTTGAATATATAGTCACCCAAATCGACCCTCCTGAACCGTTCCCGTCTGTCAAACCACCAAATGCAGTACGGTAAATGCAAAGTCAGGGGGCCTTTTTCCAAGTTCCAGGGCCGTCCGTCGTGAAATGGGTCGTAACCACATACCCTCCTGTCAAACCTCGGGCGTCGACGACCCAGGTTCGTGCCAATATGTTGTCAGAAGCGACATCTCCCATCGACTACCTGTTACGTTCAAAGAGTAAGACGATATAAGAAAAGAAAAGTAAATGGAAACCCTCCGATCAATGTAGACCATGGACACCATATTCCCAATGCCCATTCCATAACGTCGTCAAGTTCCATGCAAAATGAGCAGTACCACGCTTTAGTAGCTAAAAGAAGAGAAAGATGCCCTGAAAGAAAGCACGCGTTCCGCCGCCGTCTTTCTCGATAGTCAGCGCTCCAGAGCACTGGGCTAGTCTAGATGTCGAGAATAAAGGGACACTTCGATAGAAACAGAATTAGAGATCGCCAGTTCATTACGGCTGAGTAATGTTGTCGTGGTAAGGTGCCCTTGAAACGCCAAAACGCCAATGCCAGATCGAACCGTCGTTGTTCCTGGCCACGAAGCATTGCGAGCCTCAAGGAGGTTGTGTGTCGCGGGGTATCATGTGCTTCAGAAAGGCTCCAGGTCGTCAAAGCAGACGGTGCTTCTTTCTCGTTTAGCCTTCGTCTTCGGTCCAGGCATCTCCGTGTCGGCCAGAATGCTGCTTTGACTGGGCCTCCACCAGGGATCCAGCGGTGCTGATTGGTGAGCATACTCAAAGTTAGTGCCGTAGCCCACGTCACAACGCTCCAGCTGGACCAAGCCCCCACGGGTCCGGTCCATGCAGAGAATGTTAAGGTCTTGGCCATCGTTCGTGAACTCAACACCCCCAATCTCTCCAAATATGTCAAACGTTTGCTTGTGGGCGAGTGTTTGAATGTCGATAATGTTGACGTAATCGGCCTCTTCAGCAGCGACAAGCACTTGGGGGCCGCTGCCCGTGGGGGAGAATCGCAGGCTGCGGACGCCTGCCATTTCGGATCGAATAGTCGTGAGCGGTTTACCGGTACCGTCCGAGTTGGTCCACATTCGTGCGTCCCATAGCTTCACACTCATGTCTTGGAAGCCCGTCGCGACCGTCCAGCCGTTGTCTGACCAGTCGCAGGCGAAACCGAAATCTCTATGCCCTCCCAGCTCCTGTAGTATCTCGCCCGTGTCGGCGCTGGCAATGAGGACGTTGTAGTTGTCACCAACCATCACACGCAAGCGGCGATCCGCGGACAAAGCGGAGCAGTTGATGGGGCAGCCATACTGCGTGTCAAGGATGAACTTCTCCGTGGCCACGTCCATGATGCGGAAGCCCTGATCGTTGGAAGCAAATGCTGCCATTGGCGCCGACGAGTTCCTCGATTGGTGAATCTGTAAGTGATTGGTGATGCCGCTGATGTGGTTGGTAATTTGCCCTTCAGTGTACTTTTTGTCCTGGCTGTGAATGCTTCGCATGCAATACTCCCCGTTGAAGGTACCTGCAATGAGAATACCACAGTTGGCATCCAAGGTCGATATCTGCACCCCAATCATGTCGCTGAGATCCATAGCCACTTCACTCTCACCCGATACAGGGTTGATTTGGTGCACGGCTCCCTGGCCAGGGTAGAAGGCATGGCTCCGTCCTGCGCATGCCAAAATGTTGCGCAGCTGAAAATGGGCCAGGTGGACGTTTTGACGAATGTCCATACGACGAAACCTGAAAAAGTCTTCCGTGTTCCGAATAATCCTGTCGGGAAGATGGGGCTGCATTACCTCTGTTAGCATGACGGTGACACTTGATTCCCAAGGGGCCAACTCACAGCCCATATGTCCGAGTCTGTCCTGTTAGTGTAGTTCTTGTAGTCTAGGCTTCGGCGTTCGCGGGCATTCTTGCGCGTCACTCCCAAGTCTTCCCAGTTAATGCCTTGCGCATCGCACCGGTTGCCTTGAAGTTCAGAGTACCGCACTCGCGCGATTTGCCGTGCAGCCTGCTCGTTGATCTGTCGAATCCCAGGACTGGGGCCGCGCGACTGGAAGCGGTTACGCCAGGCCCAATCTTTGAGGAAGTCGGTCAATCCCGGGTTTTCTGGGCCGAGGGTGCTGGAAATAGGATTACTGATGGCCGGAGGGCCAGTCGCTTGCCATGCCGCCTCTTCCTCGTCGACAGTAGCCACTTGAAACTGCTGCAGTTGTTCGGCAACGCTCGGGTAGAACACGTCGTCTTCGTCGTCATCATCCTCACCCATGTTTCCGACATGTAGCATGGGGTGGAAAGGGGTAGTGTCCAGAGGGGTGGGATGTTGAGATGCTGCCGGGTCGAGAAACCCATGCCCGGCAGCAAGCGGTATGCTCCAGTAGTTGATCATGTGAGCGGGCGGTTCGTTCGATGTGTGGACTTGTTCCTGCACCGGGTGAGATGGTTGTTCGCTATGGAAGGGCCCAGAATAAGGTTCAAGAGTCAAGCCGACCTCGGGGTCGGGCATGGGGGAAAGAAGGCTGGTAGCCGTCATGACATGATCCAAAGGGGCGCCTCCATCGCTATCACTCATGTCCAGGTCGTCATCATCGTCTTCGGCATCGTCGGTATCATCAACGTAGTCGTCGTAGTATTCGTAATCGTCATGGGCGAAGGAGCCGGGTTCGTGGTAGTAGGATGACGGTATTACGGGGAAGGTCTGATGGTAGGAAGAGAAGGAAAGCTGGCCGAGGTCTGCACCGCCCTGCGCCGAAGGCTCGTGGGACTGGTGCTGCTGGCTGGGTTCGCGATAGTGACTATATTGCGTGTGCTGATCATGGTGAGGATCGGGTGGAGGTGGGGCCGATGCGAATACTTGGTGATGGTTCGAGGGTGCAGGAGCCGCCTGAGCCTGCGAAGGCTGGTTTTCCGAGGTCCGTGGGCGCATTATGCTCTCTTCAAGTGTATGCCGTGGCCAGTGGCGATCGAGTGAGGAACATCGAGGTTCGCTGCACGGCGAAGAGCAGCACCCGTCGTCGGGTCGGATAGATGGGTCCTCTTGCGCGGTCGGAGTGCGGTTTGAGGAGAGAAGGTGACGGTTGTTCCCCCTAGGTCCGGGTTTCTCTCTGGAACAGGGCGGTGGGTGTCGGTGACCAAACGCCAGGCTTCCGCAGATCGAGAGCCGGGTTTTCGTTCTTTGTTCGAGTGAAATCGACTAGCCGCAATGGAAAAAATGGCGCCGATGACGACCGGTGTGCAACGCCTTTGTTGACGGCAATAACGGTCACAGGTTCCAGGGCTGGCAAGACTCGAGTCGATAACGGGCGACACTATTCAGGCGTGTACGAACTCGGGGTCTATTTGGAAGAGTACGTCGTTGAGTGTATTGTCGTCGGGCCGAACGAGCAGAAAGGATGAGAGGATGCTGACACTGGAAGATTGGAACTGGGGCTGGGGCTGGGAATGCGGTCAGGCGGCCAAGTTAGCGAGATCGAGTCCAGCGGATGGCCTGGTGTTGTACCAGGCAGGGCGGGAACGGGAATGGGACCCGAGCGGGATGTCTTTCGCTGGGATCCAAGGGCGAGGAGAAGCCAACTCTGTCTATCTAGGTATCTCTCTACCTTTGCACCTCAGGTTATTGGGGGGGCGCTGACGCCGGCGCCGGGGTCTGGGGGGAAAGGTCGCGCCAACCAAATCGAGCAAGTACTGAGCACAGCGCACACTGCACACTGCAGTGAGGCGATCTGGTGGTTGAGTTTCACTTCCCAGGGCATATGGGTGTGATGGGAGGGCGAGCAGGTCAGAAGAGGGTGGGCTTGACGACGTGGAAAAGATACTTCTGTCCACTGGCACATCGCACATGGCTCTGTGTACTTTCCAAGACACCAAAGTCCATATTGCTCTACACCAATCCGTCCATCCTACCAAGGGTGCTGTGCTGTGACAAGGTCTGATCCTCGGCTCTGATTAGAGTAGGTACGTAATTTGGTTTGCCTATAGGATTTACAGGCCAGGAGCTGTTACTGGCCTGCTGTCAAGGGCGCCTGTCTGAATTCAAGAGCCATTACCAGAATATATTCGACTTGAGGATCAACGATCTGTCAACCATTCCGGCAAAAAAAGCCACAACGGAATGGTCACGTCCAAATACCCTCAATCGCAATACTCGGGGTGGGACAGGCAGGCCACCGAGGAACGGCACCTCCACCACCAACCACGATGCCGGGGCATGTCCCCTTGTGCCCGCCAACATGTTCCCGCCAGCCTGTCGATCCTGACCTCGACCTTCAACCTCGCCCTGGCCCCGCCTATTTCTTCCCGCACAAAGACGCAAATAGGAAACGCGGCGGTGGGAAACGAATGGGGCTCCACGGTGATTCTGTGGGACGCTACCTCCAATATCCTATGCATGGCTGACTCTAACTAGGGGAAATGGTGTGCTAGGCTGAGCCCAAAGGAACAGAGAGCTGCCTGTCCATATTCGTTCTTTGCTGCAACAAGACCAATAGAGGGTACAGTCCAGATGGGAAAAGGCGCAAGCAGCGGCAGTATCTGTCACCCCTACCTGTTTGTCTGGCCTGGGCCTGAACCCGGACCCGGGACTGCCACCTCATGATCGCACAATAAGCGCTCTTCCTGGCCTGGCACTCAGTCCAAGGCATCGCTCGCGACGAAGCCAGTCGCCACAAATAAAAACCAGGGAGGCGCTGACTCCCACGTACGAGGACTCTGCCTGCCTGCCTGCCTGCCTGCCTATCCGTTCGTATTGCCTCGACGAGAAGACGGTCCCATCGCCCTGCCTGCCGATTGCACACCCCCACCAAGTACGGAGAATTCGAATTCCTACACACTACATTACCCGCACGTCGCTTCTCACCTTCTTCGTCCATGGGCCTGCGTCGATTCGCTTCTTTGGACATGCTCTGACGTCACCGCCGAGGTGCCGTTGTGTCGGATTAATGTCTTTTTCAACGGCTTCGCCCAACATGAGCAGACCCCCCCGGACCGCAACGTCGGTGTCCTGACTTGCTTCTAGTGCGCGAATAAACTCCTGAACCTGCTGCAAGCCTCTCAACACCCGCAGATCGTGCTCGTCCGATATCCAATCAACCACACCTCGCAACTAGCCCCCCCATTTGGTCCTTGCAAAGAGCATTCTTAGCCGGCTCTCATCGCCTTCAGCCTCTCCTGAAAACGTTTCCGCGTCATGTTTCGCTTCCTTTCTGGGTCCCGTCAAATGCGACTCTTGACGGATAGACCACTTGCAATGCCCTCGCGGAATTCGCATACGCAGCGACGTGACCTGTCATTCGGCCATGTCAATGACCTTGACATCCCTGGTCTCCAGCCCACTCATGTAAGTGGTTGGATTCGGAAGTATCATTCCCACTTTATCCTGGCTAGAACAGGCCGGCCAGCGAGGAGATATGCTCACCGACTGCCGCCTGGACAAATGGACAGGCCAGGCTGCCTGGCCTTTGGCTCGTCATCCGTTACGCCCGTTGCGGCAGAAGACGCTGTCATCCCTTCTCCTCACGACTGCCACATATGCCAGACGAACTAACTCATAGAAGCTGACATAAGTAGCACAGTCTATATAATCCTATCCAACAACCCGACCATCTTTGCAACCTTCTCAATGGCCATGAAGCCACAGCAATGTAGCGAAAGGAGTGCCGACTGCATACGAACCCACCGACCATCATCCATTGGTGCCCACCCTCCAACCACATCCGCGTGATTAGAGGCCGGTTGATATGATAAATCACATTCGACAACATGTGGTCCCAGAGTTTCAACCGTCCAATGTTAACTTACCCGTTTCCTTCATGACTCCGGCTCTCAGCTCTGCACACCTTTGCTTTTTGTCCTCTCGGACTTTCCAGTCTCTGCCTGTCCGACCCCCTTACCGTATACGCAGGGATTAGAAAGCGTGACAGGGAAAAGACTGTATTGCTTTCATTGGCGCCGCGCAATCCGCTACGTGCTAATAGATGGTATGATCTTCAGCAAACGGGGCTGGCCAACACCAGAGCAAATCACAGCAGTGGGAGGCCGAGATACCGAAGACGAGGCCCAGCCGGCAACCGTTGAAGATACAATGGTTCCTAGAAGCAACCGCGTTTTGGCTTAATCGGAAGCTTCATCAACAGGAGCGGCAGCAAGTTGCTTTCGCCCGTGTCATCACTCCCACATCCATAATCGGACCCAGGAACGGGGATGGTTTGCTTATCATCGCCACCCAATGGGCCTCGGTCGCTTGCTTCGATCCAATTTCCACCTCAAAGGACATGATGGAGGGGTAGGCAATCCAACTGCTTGCACCCGGAAAACCCATGGTCAGCCGGCTTGTCCAAACTCGTGGCGTTGTGCTTCGGGTAGCACAATCTGACCGGCCCCCGACCACGCTGGATTCCAGAGGGGGGAGAGAGAAAGAGAGAGAGGCAAGGAAGAGATGGGTGAAAAAGAAACAACGGAAAGAGACCCAGTCTCCTGCAGTCCCTGTGAAGCTTGGCGGGCGAAGAGGCCGTGCGGCAAATTGTCAATCATCCACCTCGCTTCCCCTTTGGTTTCGAGGCTGCAATGAGAGGCGCCTGCAAAACCTGCGGCGCGAATGGGAGCACGAGCAACAAGACATTACAGGGCAAGGCGGGCGAGCTGCAAAATGCCACGGGGGTGATGGAAATAGCCATGTCTCGGCTACCTGCAGTGCGGCCATTATGCGCTCTTTCCTTCCCTCCCTCTTTTCCCTCTGCTTCCTCTCGCAGCCTCCGTATGTCTGGTCGCCCGTCCTTCTTCCCTCCCTCTCTCTTCCTGATCTCCCGTCGGTGTCGTTATGCTTGTCTACCCACATGTATATGCTCACCGAGCACCCCAATTTTCCACATCCTCACCGGTCTGCCGGGATCCCCATCTCCCGCGGACAATAAGATCCGTCCCGCTACCACCCCCCCCTTCTCCCTCGTCTTTTGCCACCCCCGGGAGCGAGCGGGTGGGCAGTCTGGAGAAGGGAAAGATAACCCCTCGACCTTGGCCGCATTCCCAATGGGCTGGGTGGCCTCTCCCGTCCCAAAGGGCCACGACGGCCGGGACGGGACGAGAGACGCTGGGTCGTCTCAACCGCCCGCGGTTCGCTTGACCGACTTCCAACGAAAGGAACCCCCGGGAGGCCGTGCGGACGGGGACGCGTTCCAACCGTTCCTCCTTTCCTATACTCTCCCTCATGTCCTCCCAGGGCCCCAATTCCCGTCGCCCCTCGTGCCTCGTTTGAGAAAATTTCGTCTAACCACACTTGTGATGGGGAGGGCAATTGCGATTGACACAAAGCCACCGACCGTCTCTGCAACCTGACATTGCTTCTTCTTCTTCTTCTCCTCCTGGATGCGTTCATGTCGCGAGCGGGTAGGTAGGCACGCGGGTACGCACTTAAGGCGTCTCTATGCGAGCTCCGACGGCACTACCCGATCAGAGGGCGGGGGGCCAAGGAGGCAATACCAAGACTGATGCCCAACCAACAATCAATGCCCCCCGTTCGAGCGGCCCTGCATCCGCTAGTCATAGGACCTGCCCTATACTCCTCGGCCTCTACAGCATCCGAAACAACTGGCGATCAATACCTTCGCCTTCTGTTGGCTGGCAAGGGGCGGGGGAGATGAAAATCAAAATCAAAACCCGCCTTCTCGACCGGTGACTTGCTGGCTGAGAAGGATGACAGGGAGAGGCCTCGCGGATCGAGAAAGGGAAAAAATAAAGGGGGGTGGTTGGAGAAAGGACCACGGGGAGGACAAGAGGGTTAGAGATTGCGAATATTCCCGCCAGAGACTGCTCAGCAGTAACCAGCGCCTTTCGGCCGAGAAGGCTAGGGTCACTGGGCAGTCAACAGTTGCTTTTTTGCAAAGGCGTCTGATCGGATCGGTTGGACGAACGGGAAAAGAGGTTGGTTTTACTAGGCAATACCACTACGGTGTATGAACCAGTTTGGTTACAGGTTATGTATGAGGCTGGAACTGTGCAAACATTTCTCACTCAATGAACACACACAAAAGCGCCCGCCCCTATGACAGATCCGATAATCCAGCCATGATGGCAATGTACGCAACATCCGCCCTCGCCCATACAACGCAAGTCTCAGGGGTGAGACTAACAATGGTAAACAATAGTCAGGTTGCGGCAAAAAAAAATAAAACATATAGCGTCTTCGACACAATACACCTCGCGACTTCTCCTCCCATTATTACAAGTGCCGAGCCTCAACTATTCGCAACTTACCCCCTTTTTGTTCATCATCAGAAGGAAAGTGGGCCCCAACAATAGCGCCTTTCGTATAAACCTGTTGTACCATTTATGCTTGGGGGGGGGGGGGGGGGGGACGCCCGGCCGTATGATTTTTCTCATGCATCAGAGAAGTACTCGTCGTTGTACTGATGACTGGGGGGCACCGACCAGGTGTTGCCCCCGCCGACAATGTTCTCCTTGGAGCCCCAGTAGTTGGTTCGCGTCCGGCGTTCACGCTCAAACTCGGCCCATCTCTTCATGGTGATCTTACTGCTGTCAAACTCGCCCTCGTACTCGAGACCGGCCTTCTTCGTCTTCTCGCCTGCTGTCTTTCTGGTATCACCCCACGAAAAGTCGTCAAATTTCCAGAACGCGTACGTGGGAAGGACAAAATTCCAAATGGGCAGTGATGCCAGATAGATCAGCATCCACAACACGTAAGTCCAGGAGTGGGCAGTCAAGACGATGAGCACGGCAGGGAGTCCGAGAATGAGACCTAGAAGAACCAGGGGAATGATCTGCGGAGGCGAGTGGACGATGGAGATGATGACTGGGGGGTCCCGTTAGCTAAGCATCGATAAGATTTCCGTGGTACGATTACTTACCGACGTAGAAGGTGAAGGCAATGGCGGCAGGCAGGACAAGAGTTCCCATCAGCTCAACGAACACCACGAACTGCATGCTGAAGCAGAAAGTACCGCAGAGATCTCGGACGAGGACCAGTTCCATCAGATTGTGGATAGTCGAGTTTATCCAGCGACGACGCTGCGAAAGCAAAACGGCAAAGGTGTCGGGCACCGTGGTTTTGCAGACAGCTTGTGGCACAAAGATCTGCTTACGCTTGGGGAAAGTACGAAGCATAAGGGTTGTCAGGTATCGGTCCTCACCAAGCAACAGCAGATTTTTCTTGTGCAAGGTGTCCACGACGTTCTCAGAGTAGTGCTCGACGATATCCGGGTTGGCCAAGATAGGAACCCAGTAGTCCTGAGCTCCCTTGGGCGCCTTGATGCGGTACATGCAGAAGCAACCCGGCAAACAGGTGACACCACCGAAGACCGACTCGAAGGACTTGGCCAGGTGGTGGGAGATGAAGTACTCAAAGACTTGGATGGCAGTAACCCAGCTGTCGCGCTTATTCGCGATCTTGGTCTCACCGCAGAGACCCATGATTTCGGGGTCCTTGACCATGGCCGAAACCATGTGCGTCAGACTGTCAGGAAAGACCTTGGTATCGGCATCGACCATGAGCACGATTTCGTAGAAATCGGGAGATATACCGGTGACCTTCCAGAGACCGTTGAACATCTCGTACTCGAGCTCCGTCATGCGCTCATCGAACATGACCTTCTGGAGGAAAGACATGAGGATGATCTGACTGTCACGCTTACCACGGTTGCCGGGCTTCGACTTGGTTGCCTCATCCGGCGTACCGCACTTGACTACGAGTAGAACAGGAACCCTTTGCTGCTTCTCGAGCGGAATGGCAGACTTGGCGCCGTAGTCGTAGAAACCAGAGTAGACCTTGGCCATGTTGTGTCGTTTGGAACCGCTGGCGACTGCTACGTAGGAGAACGGCTCGACCTCCTCGGGGGGGATGGTGTGGTCTTTCATCATCGCCAAGCAGTAATCCGGGGTGGACATGTCTTCTCCCTTGCCCTTGATGATGCCGTCGCAGATAATGACGACGACCTTGTGGCTGTTGGGGTAATCTGTCATGGCGATGGAGTCGAGCGTAGTACGGATACCTAGCGCTCCTTCAGAGTAAGCGGTGACGAGGCACATCGTATGGGCAAGCGGGAATCCAAACGGCATCCAGTCGGCCGGCGGTTGAGGAACGACGGCCTCGTGAATGAACCCAGCCGGTCCCGGTCCCTCGGTCGGACTGACGTTGCTTGTGTAGGGATCTGATTGAATGAAGTTGGACCGGCTGTCGTTGCCCTGTCGGTACATGTTGTTGGAATGCAGCATGTTGCTGCCGGCACCCGAACTGGCCATGGTGGTAGGCATCCGCTTCCCACCGACCAGCGGCGCCGCGTTCGCTCCGTAAACAGTAGAGAAACGAGAAGTCGTAGGCAGGAAGGAGCTCTGACGCTTGCTGGTGCGGTCGGAGGATCCGTTGACGCTGCTTCCGATATCACCAGGCAGTCTTGGGGGTGCTCGGTAAATGTCCTCAGACCAGTCCTCGATTTGACGATTGCGCTTACGCTTGTCTCCAGTCTGAGACGTCTTGGAGGCAGCGTAAGTTCGGCTGATGAACCACTGGAAGAAAACGGCAAGGAAGAACCTCGTCAACACCACGGCCAGAATAAGGACGAGGGAGCAATAGAGGACGACCTGGGAAGCGATGCAGCCGACAGTGTCAGTGTCGACGGATCCGACCTTGATGATCTCCTCGAAACACTCGGCGATCTGCTTGTCTGACGAACCCTGGAAGGCTCTGGTGACGTCGCGTCCACGAATAGCCCGGTTGACGGCCGAGTTCCTGTCCTTGAGCTCATTGAAGCGAGCGGGCACCTTTACCTGGGTAGCGTTAAACCAGTTGAGCAAGTCAAGATCCAGAACAGTGCCCGAGTACACAATGAGGTTGCGGGAGCTGTTCTTAATGTCGTTCCAAGAAAAGTAGACGTCGGCAGCACCGTGCAAGTCTAGATAGAAGGTATCACGACTCTTGCGCGTGGTGTGGCAGGCCCATCCGAGGTAGTAGGGAATCGTTAGGTTGGGCTTCGAGGAGCCGTCTTGGTTGAAGACGTTGCAAGGGAAGTACCATGCCAGATTACCATCACTGTCAGTCGGAACATCCGAATTTTCGGCGAGCGTAATGAGGTTCTTGCATCGGCCGTTGACGTTTTGGAACAGGAAGCTGCCGTCCGTTCCGCCGTACTTCTCGGGCAAATCGTACAAGACGTTGGCGCCATGAGTCCTGTTGATCATAGGAACACCATCAGCTGGCGGGTGGCGGGAGCCAGACAGGTCGTAAGCGGTTCCGTGGAAAATCATGTATCCATCAGACACATCGTTGACCCGGAGACGGAGCGGAGGAGCTCCGCACACCGTTTGAGTGAAGCCGAACGTGATGAAACCGACAAACCCCATGATGAGCAGGATGATGCTGATCAGGCCCATCTTCTCCCTCCAGGCTCGTTGTTGGGCCTTGGACGCCATGCCGCAGCATTTCAGCAGGAAGTTTGGCATCCAGAACGTGATGATTGCACAGTAGACGTTCCAGAAGCTCGGCGGACGAATCTGTTCGACCTGCTGCTTCCGCTTACCATTCTTACTGAGCTTGCCGGACTTGTGGCGGCTCACACGCTTCGACTTGGTTCGAGTCGGGACTTTCTTTTCTTCTCGGCTGTTCTCCCTGCTGTTACTTGCCCGCGGCGGCGAGACGTCCGAGTAGTTGTCGTTCGTCTGCGAGCGCCCAGACACGTCTGTGGTGCCTTCCATGTCCTCGACTATCGGGTCGTTTCCGGTAGCCGAGGGCAGAACGTTCATGTTGGCGGCATGTTGACGGTAATAGTAGTTAGGATGGTCCTTGTCGATTCTGTGTCGCTCTGGTCGGATCAAGCTTCGCTTTCTCTGGAAGGGTTCGTCGACGGCGGCGGGTCCTGCAACGGGCGAAGCGTAGTTCGGGGATAGAGGTTGGTTCTCTGCGTTGATATTAGGCGAGGGGATCGTCTCTGGGAAAGAGTTGGCAGAGTGCCCACGTCGGTGTTGAGGTCGCCCTCCTACGGAATAGTAACCGTCGGCGTCAACATCGCCAGGACGGGTGCGTCGCGACGTCGAGTTTCTGTGCGGGTTTCTATTCTCTGGAAGAGAGCTCGCCCCTGGCCGTTCGGGGAGAGACATGGTCCTGAGAGGAGTTACACGTCAGTCTTGGTTCCACTGCGAGTTGAAGTGTGCGGCGTCCAGTGACAGGAGAGGATGGGGAACTTCACCCTTTCGGCGGGTGAGCTTTGTTCGATCTGTCGCAAGTGTAAACAAGAGACAGGCAGTTTCGGGCTCGATTCGCAAGGGAGAGAGGTTCAAAGCAGGATTCTGGAAGGTAGAGAAATACCGATGTTGGAGGGTGGAAGTGAAGCCAGGAAACCACAACAGTAGCGGGAAGACGACAGGCTGTTGCAGGTCGTTTGGCAGGAGGCCATACTCACAGGAGTTGTTATTGGGAGGAAAGCACCTCCAGGCTGGATTTGTGGACTGTGCAGGCCTACGCACCCCTGTCGACAGCGGGGGTTGTTCCTTGGGAGACCGCGAATCAATGGGAGGGGGTGGGCAGCCGTGTTCTGTGACAACAATGCAAGCAGGGAAGCCGCCAGCAAAAAGCCCTTGCTCTCTTGCTCTTTTCGAACAAGTAGTGACTGCGACTTGCTGCTGGATTCTCTGTGCTTGCGTGATGCCGCAACTCAAACCTGCCCTGGATGGTTGGGCAACCCCAGTTAGGATCTTGTAACTTTGGTCGAGACCTCAAGCGACGAACGGGCCAACGAGCGTTCCCGGGTTCTCCTTTTCTTGTTTTTAACTTTGTCTCCCTGTACTCTAAAAATGCCGTCTTCTCCCCTTGTCGAGTTTCCAAGAGGTTGTTGATTTTGTCGCTTCTGAGGACCTAAGCAGATGTGCACGGCTTCTGCGAGCCTATTGGGTTCCCTGTACAACTCGGCACCAGGGTGTCGTGAGTCGTCTCAAGGAACACAGACGGGCGGGCGCAAGACGATATGCAACCTGAATTGAGACGATGAGTACGGACGAGGTGGGCGGACGAAGATCGCGGCGCAAGTGCAGACACCTGGGTTTCAAAATGACGCCGAGAATGGCGGGCGGATGGGAAGTCTGTAGACAGTGTTGTTGAGAAACGACGATGTAAGGCAAATGTAGCCTAGGAAACACACGAATGTTTTGGTTATCGAATGTGCTTGGGCTAATTGTGCGCGACCCGGGAGAGGGTTTGAGATGCCAAGGAACGACAAGGCGAGAGTGCAACGCCGGTTGAGCGCGTGATGGATGGGTTGAGCGATGGAGCTGGTAAACTGGCGCGATTGTGCGCACAGCTTGTTTGTTCTTCCTGGGAACGACTGTTGGTGCCACTGACTGACTGATGTCGCTAAAATCTGCAATGAGAGGGGGGAGGCGGTTCGATTGTTGGGAATGGCGCCGAGATGCTGATTTGTAGAGACGAGTGCAGCAGTGAGAAACGAGAGTCAGTCGGCTCTCGCGAAAGCCAAAAGGGCGGAAAGCAAAGAAAAAGTGGAAAGAAGGAACGAGAGAGAGAGAGAGAGAGAGAGAGAGAGAGAGAGAGAGAGAGAGAGAGAGAGAGAGAGAGAGAGAGAGAGAGAGAGAGAGAGAGAGAGAGAGAGAGTGCGCCGCAGAGAATGAGTCGATATGTCTGAGGGGCGGCCAACTACCTAGGTACTCGGCTTTCCTTGGTTCCCTTTGCTAGGGAGGCGGATGGTATGGGCACAGAGAAGTATTGCTTTGGAACAGAGTACGGATACCAGCTGGAGGTTGCAGTGTAGAAAAGGGGAAGAGATAGTCCGGCGTTGTAAACCGTTCCGCTAGCCTGTATAGAGTAGCTCTTTTTTTTTGTCCAAAAAAGTCAAAAAAATCAGATGTACTTCCTCCAAGGAAAGGAGTACCAAGGTAGGTAGGTACCGTCCCATTTCCATTCCCAACCACCAACCACCACAGCCCGGCCACCCTCGCCTCATCCATTCTCGTATTGCTGTCATCGCCAGCTGAATCCCGTTTTGTCGATGCTACGTACAAGGTTCCCGTATCTATGCTGCTACCTACGCGATTCTACCAGCCCTCCCGTTGCCTTTTCTCCCTTTCTTATTTTTATTTTTATTTCTTCCCTTGCCGTCTGATCCTGAGGAAAGCAAAGCAGGATACGAACGAAGAAAAGGACACACTCACTATACGACATACCGTACGAGAATCCGCTTCGGCTGCTTTCGGTGGGTAACGAAAGGAAGACTAAGAATAAAGTAGGTTCGACCTGCTGGGTACATTAACCAAGGAACAGGGGACGACTCATGTGGGAGACTCCATAGGCCCTATTTGTAGATTATTCCCTGTTCATGGACCCATAAGTAAGTACCGCAGATGTACCCTGACCTCACCTGGAGAGTTGTGTATCCCTACGGACACCAACAACCGAAACGTCGCTCTGGCATGTCAATGACCGCACTCTTTAATCATGAGTATTGATGGAGGTATTGGCCCCCCTCCCTAACGCAACCGCCCGTTTCACGTGTTTCTCTTGTTTTGCGTTGACAAAAACATAAATTGGTTCTGCGCCTTCTGCTTCGTCATGCAAATGGTATCCTGTGTGGAAGAGTATGGTACAATATCAAAGGCGGAACTCCATACGAATGAGAAACACACCCACCCATCCACAACCCATTAACCGGGCCCGCGCTCGAACCTTACCCACCACATAGGTACATACCGGTCGGTAGTCTAAGCCAGATCAGCAGCAGAAACCATGGTTACTATTTCCGCCCCCGTTGCCCAGCCGACCAGCCGACCTTCGAGGCATTCGAAATATCCAACTTGGACTGGCCTGTGCTGTGCCGAACGGCGCCCGAGCTTACGAATGGGCTATGTCGTCGTGAGAGGAAAGATGCGATGACGACAGGAAGAACGCGCAACTTGATTGCTCGCCGGCCCTTGTAAGTAGTGCATTTGCAGATCGCCTTGCCCGGGATATCTCATTACATCTATGCCGGCGCTGCAGGCAGGCGTTTGTTAGGCATTTGTTCTTCGGCTGTCACGGACTTCACGCAACCCAGTGTCCCAACTAGCCACATCAACTACCCCATAGCTCCTACGGATCCAGTCTGCTTTGCGTACGCGAAAACTCAACTGTGGAGGGTAAGCTTTTCTTTACCTCGTCCAGCAGTGTTCTAGGTCATCGTTACTGGGATGGATTTTGACCCCCAGAAGAGATATCCACGTGGTACCCATGGTCAAAGTATCGATGCAGTATCCGCGTTTCGAGGGGCACAAAATGTCAGCCTGGGAATGTTTCCTCTCCATCAACACACTGCCATCACGCCGCTTCGGGCGATCTCATCTGAGGTCAGGTCACGCGCGCCTATCCTGATCAGTTCACCCCTAACACAACATGCCGGATTTGCGGCTATCACTGTTGTTGTCAATCGCTTTCGCCAAAGGCATGCTCGGTTTCTTGCAGCCCTTGCAGCCCCCGCTGGGAATGAACACTCTGTCTTGGCTCTTTAGTGAAGCATCCACTCGAGCCCTGTGCCGTTATCAAGAAACCCACAAGTGGCCAACCGCACGTTTCTCCTGATATTATCTGCGTTTCCTCGTCCCACCCGCATCGGCTGGCTTCCGAGGTTCCAAGCTTGCTTCCCAGATTGCTAGCGGACAGATATGCCCAAAACATAAAAATAAAAATAAAAGTGAACTATATTCGTGCCGCTGGATCGTGGGGAAATCCTTCCTTTCCGTTGCCTCATGAGTTGATTCTCGCAGATCTTAAGTAGATCCTCTAGTAGCTTGCAGTGGCTTGCCGATCAACCAAGGGGGGTGTTATCTGACGAAGCCCCACCTCGTGATTGCGACAATGAGCCGTCTTAAGCAGGAAGTGTGTATATAGTATGTATCGTTTAGGTGAACCATCAGACGAAAATTCATCTAATCAATCTGACGAAAGTGAATCGGCCGAAGGTCGATACGGCGGCTGGCATTAACTGCGTGTCTCATCTCAAAACATGGCGCCTTGCCCAGTGTACTGGCACACCAACTTCATTGAGGTGATTTGCTCTCGGTTGAGACCCTATCGAATCGGCCCCAGAATTCGATTATGTGTCAGTTAAATGATGTTGTGTTGTCTGAGTGTGTGTGTTGTTCGGTACTCCTACTATGAGTGATAACTTCTTTTTGTGATCACTTGTACACGCTACTTACGATCATGGTGAATGATGATGTCGCGGGAGGGGATGTACCAAGCCTTTGATCTTCGGCATGGTAAGGTATACGGAAGCTACAACGGGGCCGTCCTTCACAACTCCAAGGCGGATAAGCCATTATTTTGCATCTCGATCCAATGGGCCATCGCTACGGTAACCTGGCCTCATATGGCGATTTTCGGCATGCTGAAGTGTGGTTTTATCCAACGATAGGCCGCGCAGCAGAAGAGCCTCAGGGCAGAGGAAATGTCCGAGCTTGAAGAAGAAAAAACCCACCCAAAGCTAGCGATGCTACTTCATCTTGAAGAGCTGTGGGCGTTGGGGGTGGTCAACGCCGATTTGGAGACGATGGGGGGTGGAAGTAGGAAGAAAAGACGTTCCACATCCAGTTATACGAGATGTCCAGTCCGGTTCGGGAGGTGAGCAGTCATTACGGCCAATCTCCATCGCAAAGAGTACGGTGGGCTCGGCACCATTTTGAATAGAGAAATTCCATGAGCAAATTCGCACATGGCCCCGGAAACAAAGAGAGACCGACCTTGGAATTGCTTCGTTCTAGCACGCCCGTTGCCCGCTGTCGAGATATGTGGCTGTGTTATCCGTTATGCTTGCGAGACGTGTGGCATTCGGGTGAGGGCTCGCTCAGTGACGGCGACTTTATACAAATACGCACCGGAACCGGAACCAGTACCAAGGTTCTGGTGTCCTCCAATTTCCAGGCTCAACATGCATCCAGCCGTCTGGCTGCATGGTATCATGCGGGGTACAGTCAAGCCAAAAATGATTGCGACCGAAAGCTGCACTGGTTGTAGTCGCACTCTGTACGGATAGGTGTAAACTAGCAGCGGTGATCCGCGATGTCCGCCCCGGCCCATTGCCTTCAAACGCTGGACCCTCAAAATGATCGAGGATCGTGGA